TGGGTTTTGTGGAGCAGACTGGTGTATTGAGACTATTAGGCCTTCCCAAAGTCAGGCGGTCAAAGATTTTAATCTTGGGAGTGGACAATGGAATGGCAGCCATTAAGGAAGTAAGTCTTGCAGAGTCTGGGGGGGGATTAAAGCAGGGGGCAGATGAGACTCCCCGGTGCAGGCTGGAGGAAGGTAGGGCAGAAGCTGTGGAGTGTGAGGACAGAACCGTGGTACCCACGTGGCATGCCCAAGTGGCCCCGGAGGGAGGCTGTCAATGTAGAAACAGTTGGCTGGGAAACCTACCTCTCTCCTCTGGGACGCCAGTGACTGTCACCGTTGGCTTTGGCTGTTTGGAGGCAGGGGGTGTTCACAGCCCATCTCTGATCCTGTTTCTGGAAGCATGTGTGGCATGTTGATGCTGATGGAATCCGATGCCCGCAGCAAGCACTGGCTGCAAGTGGGAAGTGGTTGCTGTCTGGAGCCGGTTTCCTCTCTGTCTGGCAAACGATGATGCCTTCAGAATATTTAAGTCCTGGTGGGAGTGAGTCTCTTTTGTTCTTCTCTTAAGGCATTTCTTGGTGGTAGGATACCAAGTGCTCTTCAGTGTCGCACCAACAATTAGGAGAAAGGAAAACCCCACTGCTTTCTAAGGAATAATCCACTATTTTTCTAAAACAAACCACACATTTGTTGTCATTTTCTAGGCGACATGGAAGATGTAAATCGTAGTAAGGTGTTGGTTGACGACAAGGAGCTTATAATCTGGCAGAAAAGAGAAAATAGATTATATAAAATCTATAATGTGGTAGTATAATCAAACAAGGGGCTTGCTTCCCAATGCATACAGAAAGCCAAACTCTGTGACACTGGCTTTTGTGAGAAGAAAGAACTTTACTGTGTGGTTGACCAGCAAGGAGACAGGAGGCAAAGCTCTAATCTGTCTCCCATCTACCTGGGGTTAGGTCAGCCTTTTATGGGCAGTGGACGGATTGGTAGGGGGAAGGACTGGTGGGGCAGGGTTTGATTGGGTGAGCTTTAAGCTTGGCTATTTATGGAAAGGCATGGAATGGTGAGTTTCAGAGTTTCAGCACCAGAACTGCCTGGACAAAGGACCCCTCGCTTCTGAAAGGACTCAGGAGTTTCAGATTCTGGTCATGTCCTGGCCTCCCTGGTTCTGTTGGTTCCTGGTGTTATTTGGAGGGCAAGGCTTTTTATCGATTGTGCATGCACAGGCTGCATGACCTGCAGATTTGGGCTCTGCTCCTGCAAGAAAGCTTAAGCAATGGTTAAATGATGGACCAGGTTGAGTTGGTCACACGGTTACAGTAGGATGTATAAATGACGGTAAGTGAGGTAGGCGTAGGGGCCAAGGGAAAACTTCCTCTTCACCCCTGATGGTTCATTAATAATCAGTGACAAATTTTGATTGATAAGAAAAGGTAGTTATTATTTTAATGTGGTGGGAGGGGCGATGCATGGGGTAATCACAAGAGGGTAATTTCCCAATTTTCTGGTGGAGTGCAGAGGCTTATGTAACAATCGTCACAGGCGAGAGGGAAGGAGAGGAAGGTAGATGATTCTCTTGAGGAACAGCAAACAATTATTGGGGTGAGACCGAGAGGCAGATATAATCTTGTGAAAAGCTCTGTCCAGGTGTGGGGCCCTCCAGTCTCTCCAGTCCCTCCTGGAGTTGTTCTTTCCTGATTATCTGAGGAGGTTCCTAAGGAGACCTTAAGACAATTGCATTTCTTTTGGAAAGCTTTCTTAGATAAGTGCTTGGGGTGAGGGGAACAAGCCAAGGTTAGAGGGACTTTAATTCTGAGGCTCATTTCTGAGGCCCTTTAATTTTCAAAGCACTCAGCATGACGAAACACCATGTTTTGGGGAGCAGTTTTCTGCACCCCAGTACAGAAAAAGAGTGAGATGGCATTTGCTGGAGCATACGCTGGTTCACAGGAGTCTGACTCACCCTGCCATGGCTGAACCTAAAACAACTCAACCAGAACGTCAGGAGACCTGGATTTTAACGTTGCCTCTGACATTTTGTGTT